ACGTTTCAAACCTCCTTTCCTATCATCTAGAGCAGGGGTTTTCAAAGTGTGGGAAGGTGAGCCTCCCCTCAGAGAACATAAGAACAGCTGCGCCCCCCCTCCCAATTATTATTGCTATTATTATTATTATTGTTGTTGTTGCGATAATGCAGGGGTATTCAATTGCATTTCAAAGAGGTCCAGTGAGAGAACATGTCATTAAATGCTCTGTCTACCTTTCTCTTTTTTGAGCACGCCATTTGAAACTAGAGAATGCAATTCCTGAAGAAATTGCTAGTGGGAATGCTTTATGCTGAAAAGCTGAAGCTGAAGATTTTCTCCATTGACTTCCATGTTCAAAATGTGATGAATTATGGGATGTATCTCTGGAATTATGAAAGTTATGAATGATAAAAGTAATAGCCATCGATTCCCGACCGAGCTGAACGTTTTGATGTTTGAACGGAGTTTCTGCGATGTTCAATGTGGGAGAAGAAGAGGCGCAAAATAACCCGGCAGAATAATAAAGAATTTCGTGCGTAGCATAACAGATAGTGGGAATGCTGTGTCAGCATTCCCACTAAATTACTCAGACTGTTTCTCTCTTCTTGTCTCGTCTCTGTGTGTGTGTTTGAATCTATTGTGCTGAGTCCCAGTCTTCTCTGATGTTACACTGCAACCTGCCTGTGAGACAGAGTCCAACCACACACTCTGTCTGTCCAACACATGTCCTGCTGCAATACACATGCTGCAGCTGCCCAGCTACTCACTGTTTGTAAAAGTAAATAAATAGTATTTTCATCTCAATAATTTACTTTCTTTACCCTGCTTCATAAACAATACTGACATCCCTGTGCTCCTCCGAGTCTGGGGGTCCGGGGATGTGAGGGCAGCGCGAGGACACAGACCGGGAGGCTGCTTTACTTCATAAAGGAAATGGCGGTCAATATTAACAACACGTTTTGCTACTAGCACTATCAGCAGCTTAGAAGTGCAAGATGATGAAGAGAATGATGAGGGCGCGAGTCTGAGTTCAGATATACAGCCAGCCTGCGTTCATGATGAGGGACAGAGAGTTGAGCAGGTGGAAGAACCAGCTCAACAACCAGCTCAACAAGCACTTGTATGGCACATACAAGTGAAGGGCAAGAGCCAGAGGTGGTAAGTACTATAGAGAAGACAAGTATATTCAACCTAGTTTTTTTGCAGTTAGTGTGTGTTGCTCATACAAGCAATACAATAAATTAAAAGATTGTTACATGCACTGTAAAAAAAATCTGTAATGTAGGCAGTAAATTGCTGTATTACCCACAGTAATTTACTTTGAATTTGTAATACAGTGTGATACATTGTGGGAATATTATCCTTAGGCGGGAAATGTATACAGCAATTTAAAAATGATACTGTAATATTACAGCAATACTGTAAATAGTGCTGTAATGTTACAGTAACTTTTGTTGTTACTGTACAATATTTCGGGGTGAAAATATCAGGAGCAAGAGGAGAGAACCGCTGTGACCTTTAATGGATTATTTAGGTTTTTTTCTCCTAAAAGTTCGTATTTTATTTTGAGATTGAGTTCCAGTATTATATGGCTAAACAGCTTCAACAGTCAGCGGACCAAAGGGAGGAGAGAGATACAGAATGTCCTCACCCAAATCGAGGAGGAATCCTCCAACCAACTCTGCAATTCTGGTCATGATGGCACATTTCAAGGAAAAAGAAGAGGCTCTTTTCCTTTTGGCTGATGTAATTGGAGTTATACATTATGATCTTGTGCAATGAAAATGTAATAATTTATGCCTTTCAAATATTACATTGTATTGTACATTAATTTGAACATATTATTGTGTGTGAGTGTGTGTGTGTGTGTGTGTGTGTGTGTGTGTGTGTGTGTGTGTGTGTGTGTGTGTGTGTGTGTGTGTGTGTGTGTGTGTGTGTGTGTGTGTGTGTGTGTGTGTGTGTGTGTGTGGGTGTCTGCAACCAAGGATGAAATTGAGGCTCAACTGACCCTACCAGGCACACCAAGGCTCATCATGTTAGGTAAGGATTTGGTTTGACACTTTACTTTTGACATGTAAAGCTGAACATGTATTTTAATTCCACATGTTTTGTATGTGTGCTTCATACATGTATGATCTCTATAGTATTTCATTGTTCAGTTTTGAAGTAGCAAACATTTTCAATGATATGCTGCCTTTTCCATTTTGTCCACTTCTCTTGCAGGGGACCCTTTTACTTTCACATAATTACAGAATATGTACTGTTGTGATTTGATGTTGTGACCTCACTACTTGTGATTTTGTATTTGAATTGGTCTGTTGTATTTGAATCTGTCATGAACTGTTGTATTTATATCAGTTATGAACTGTTATATTTATATCTGTTATGAACTGTCCTATTTTACCATGTTTTTCATATTGAACTTAATATTGAAATGAAATCAATAAACATATTTTATTTAAATTGTATCCCAGTTGTTGTTTATCGTTTCAGGTAGCACCTATTGCAAATGAGACAAGGATCTAAAATTGGTTAAAGAGAAAACTGCAGTAATATACTGTTTTAATGCATACACTACTGTAAAATTATACTGTATACAGAACAGTAATGTATTGTTATTTCACAATACCAGTATTGTATAATCACAGTAAAATATTGTTTTTGAGATTACAGCAGCATACACAATTACAGTAATCTACAGTAATATAAAAATACAGCACTGATTTTGATACTGTAAACAAAATACAGGATCGCTACTGTAAAGTAAAAATACAGTAACTTGTTGGCAACTCTGCTGCCAGTAATTTACTGTAAAATCCCCTGTATTTTTTTTTACAGTGTGAGAGGTGTAATATCTAATATTAAAAAAATATTAAAAAAAACGATAGATCAAACAAAAGTCTATTACTTGCCAACATTTCATGGGGGCCGGACTGGGTCAGATTCCAGGGCGGATTTTTTGTCCCAGTCCACCCCTGCATACAATACATATTGACAGGGCCGGCCCTAGGCACTGGCGAACTAGCCGGTCGCCTATGGATGGGGTCTGGAGGGGTGCTGCGATGGGAGAAAAAAAATGAGTCTAGTCTCTAGTAATTCTACTCAAAGTGCACCAGATTGAAGCATTTTAATTAAAAATGTTAAAACAAATCTTTCCGGGGGGGCATACTCCCGGACCCCCCGAGAGGATGTGACGTCCACCCCCCAATTAAAACATGTTCATACAATAATTATATACATTTGAAACCTTCTTTATGTATATAACCAACATGTCAATACGTTTCAGTTTTTGTAGTGTATTGGTCTTTTGTAGAGATTTTTCCTTTATTATTTATATATTCTATTGCAGGGGTAGCCAACACGGTGCCCGCGGGCACTTGGTCGCCCGCAGGGGCAACGTGAGTCGCCCGCGGGGCATGTTCTAAAAATAGCTCGCCAAGCAAATCCAAAATGTATAAAATATACAAAACAAAAAAGGAAATGTAATTAAAATTATCTACCCTATGCATAAACGAAACCTAAATCATAGCGAACTCTATCTACTTACTACAACTCTATATCTATCTAACACCCCTCCTCCCCCCACCCCCACAATGAGTATCGACCAATCACGTTCTTGCTTGATTTGCGGGACCAGCGTTGCAGTCGGGAAGAAAAGGCACCTCCCCGCTGATTTTCCTTCTGGCAGAATCTACACAACACATCAGCCCCATTGAACAGCCTATCATGCAGCCTATACAGCACATGGGGGGCAGAGCTTTACTGTGTGTTGCAACTTGCATATATATTTATTGCACTTGACGCACACACACGCATGGCGTAATTTCCACCTGTGACAGGGGGGAAATGTCCCCCGCTCTTTTCGAAATCCCGTTTGTGTCCCCCCACTTTACAAATATGTTTATTATTATTTTTTAACGCAAGCCGTCATCGCCACGGAGGAGCACACAGCCTCTGTGAGCGTGCGAGACAGAGGGAGAGAGAGAGAGCGAGCGAGAGAGCTAGGGAGGGCGGGAGGGAGGGAGGGGGAGAGAGAGAGAGAGAGAGAGAGAGAGAGAGGGGGAGAGAGCGAGCGAGAGAGCTAGGGAGAGCACACCTTTATCTATTCAATATAGATAAAGTCAGTAATCATTCCAATGTGTACTATAGGACAGTAAAAAACAAAAAACAGTTTAAAGGGGAGTGATTAGTAAAATAAGCATAAATAGAAAGAAAGAATACTAACTAGGTAACATAAGATAAGAATAAACCAGTTTAAATGATTTGTTATTGGTTGTGATCATATTCTAAAGATGTTTGGATTATTGAAAAGTATACAGCTCCCTTTCATCTGAGTGTTGAGAGCTGTTTCCATCAATTCATGTTGTGCTCAAAGTGCACCAGATTGATGCTTTTCACTTAACATGCCCCCGGACCCCCCTAGAGGAGGTGAGGCCCGTCCACCCCCAAATAAAGCAGGTTAAAATAATTAAATTGCATACATGTTATTTTAGTAAACACTGAAAACGGGTCCCACAGACCCAAACAGCACACAAAGGTTAAAGGTAAGCATATCATAATGTTAAAATGTGCTAAATATATACACTGCAAAAAACAAACAAAAGAGGAGTAAAAGTAGCCCCTGACTTGTTTTATTTTTTTAAAGTAGCCCTCACCCTAAAAAAGGTTGGTGACCCCTGCTCTATTGTGTATTGCTTGGAGGGGCGGGGGGCACCAAATCATAATCTCGCATAGGGCACAAAAATGTCTAGGGCCAGCCCTGCATATTGACACAGGTAGCAACCTGCATCTTACAAATACCTTATAAATCCCAAACAGGCCAATGGATGGTTTATTAAAGACTACACTTGACTACACTTGAATTAAATTAAAGGTGCATGGACGATTTCATTTCGTCCATGCACCTTTAAATCACAAGCTGCACTTGTTTTTCCTCATGGTGTCTCATTTACACATTTCATCAGATCAACTGAGCTTTTATGATTCATAAACATCACAACAAATTAAATAATCCTCACCTGTGTCATTATCCTTCTTTCTCACATCTTTCTTCGTGTCCTCTGCCCAGGAAAGAGGGAAGGCGAGCAGGAAGAGGCACAACAAGTGGGTGCCGGGTATCATCATCATGAAGAAATCTGTGGATGATGTACAAAATCCCTCTCATATAAATGTAAAAACCCAAGATTGGCAGGTGCTGTGGTGGCGGGAAATATTCTCTGGCTTGTTCTCCTTCAGTACCTCACTTTCCTCTGGTTTCTCTCTCTGGCTTTGAGGAGGTGTCTCGAGCGCAGCGCGCGTGCGTTACGAACCAAAAACTCCGAAAACGCGGCGCCTCCACGTGACGGGATTGACGCACGGCATGAGGAGGACTGTTGTTGGGGTAACAGACAACAGATCAGAGATAGGTATTCACTGTGTGTCACACACATAATGAAGAATGACAGAAAGAGGCACACCCACCCTCGTGCCTCATTCTGAGCCTCTCACTGATTGAGAACATGCGGAGGTCACTGACGGACATTAATGTAGGACTGTAGCTCTGCTCAACACCAGTAGGGTTAACAAATTAAGAAACATGTCTCGAGTATTTTAAACATAGGTGATAATTACTTGTCAAACGTATAATTTGATTACATTTATTAAAAAAGTAATACAAAAAAAGCTTCCACCAATATTATTTGTGAAGTGAACTTTCTTTTAGAAATGTTTATTTGCACAATACAAAAGCATACAATTCAATGTAAATACGGAATAAATGAATCTCATATGCTAAAAACATCATTGCTCATTATTAAATAACCAAAAATTATGCATGCAGCTCTATTTTATAGCTTGTTATGCTCATTTACATGCAAAAGACATGTCTCAATCATTGAAAAATACATACATTTGTACCACTACCACCAACATGCACGTCTATTTTGAAGATTAAATATGAATTGTGATGTAAAAATATTCACGCGAAAAATATCTCCCCTTCTGTGTCGCTCAGGGATGACCAGACGACTCACACAGATAGTTCAAGACACAAACACGTTTATTTCCTTCACATCGGCTTACATTAAAAATATGTTTGGGCCTACACATTCTATTAATGTACATCCATGGCTACACATTCATAATAATTGTATTTCTCCTGGGAGGGCCAAAATCCAGGTTTTGTCTGTTCAGCATCCTCCTCATCAAATCCAATCCCATCAACATCACTGCACTCCGCCAGTGTCAAGACCCCTTTTTCTACCTACAATTGGGGTCTAATCGTCAAAGACTATTCTAATTGGTGTCATCTCCTGTAGACATCAATCAAAGTTTCCTAAATCAAAACAAGTATCTCCCGATTTAAATAAAGTTATATTCAAATTAGTACTCCACAGATTTAGCATTACTCTCATCTCACATTCTGCATTGTCAAAACCTTGCTTGTAAAAAGCTCACAGTTCCACTTGTCTGCCTCATGCAGACATGAGGAGTGGACTATAGAGCTGTGGTGAGCTCAAGAGATCCCCTTCTGATTGAAGAGGCAACATTTAGACAAAAAAAGAGTGCATAAAATAAAAATAAACTCAGAATCAGAAAACAATTGATACATTCATTGATTAACAGGTTTCATCAGGTTTGTTTCCCCGGTGAGTAAACCACATTGAAGTTTGAGGTATCATTACTATTGCTATGGTTACCTGCAGTTTCCATGGCAGCTATAAACTCTAAATAGTCCATTTGATTTTCAATGTTAGGATGGCAGACACAGTGTAAACAAAGTGGTGGAGTGGAGCAATAATGATGAAGTTGAGCAGAAAAAGTTGTGTTGGTTCCCCATGTGACTCATAAAGTTCCTATCAATACCCACTGACAAAATTACGCAGGTATTTTTATTCAAATACTTGGGTGTAATCAGTGGTGTAGTCTACTTTTTTGTAGTGGGTATACTGTAATAATTGTACTCATCCATCCTAGAGCGACGCATCGCGGAGCGACACCTGTCTCGAAGCAACACCTCATGAACACCATCACACTCACTAATGCATAGACTAGTCTTCTTAAATTCCCGAGCCTGACTTTCAGTCCACAAGGCTGGCCAGGAGCTCTCATCTGTGTCCGAAACAAGGAGATAATATAAACATTGTGTTCTGTTTATGACTGCACATACACACATACACACACACACACACACAAAGCTACACACACACAGCCAAGGGTGTAACTTTGGTTTGAGAAGTGGGGGGGACACAAAACAGGGGGTCCTCCGCAATGAAATATTTTCTCAATTTAATTCCATTTCCTGCCTTTCTACAAATATATTAGGGACTATAGTGAAACCGTCTGCAAAAGGACAGAATAAAGAATGTTGTTTCCGCTGCCATGGTCTTTTTGTGACTGGGGGGCAATTTCTTAACGGTCCCATGTCATGGCCATTTCTACTGATCATAATTCCATTGTTGAGTTCTACTAGAATAGATTTACATTGTTCAATGTTCCAAAATCACATTGGTTTTCTCATACAGCATCTCTGTATAGTATGTGTATTCACTCTCTGTCCTAAACGGCTTGTTGGAGCTCCTGCCCCCCCCTCCCTGTGAGCCCACTGTGCTCTGATGTGTGTTTATGTGTTACAATGGCATTTGTTAGCAACCAGAAAATGACACCAGTAATGACAAACAGATGAGAATGCTGCGTGGGGTCTGGGTGCCGTGTTGGCGGGACGTTGCGGGGCTCGCTGCTCCGCCCTTTGAGACTCGAGGAGCCGACAGTGTGAGCCAATGGCGTAACAAGGTTGTGATTGGCCCCGGTGCAAATATTGTTTTGGGCCCCCATCGCCCCAAACATAAGCGCACGCTGATGCGCTCACACACACACGGACATACACAACCACTCAGAAGCGCCACATGTATAGGCTAACAGCCTGCCCTGGCCTCAGACCACCACAGCCTGACAACGGCACAGCGAACTAAGAAGAGGATTAAACCTGTTTCCTTGATGTTTGTCTCTGGGGAATGGGCCGGTAGGCCTACATAGACCGGTTGCTATAATCAGGGGTGCACATAACTGGTACGCAGGTACGCATGCGCGGCACAAATCTGAATTGCGTAACGTCACTTGTGTCACTACGCGCCTTTGCGTACCTCAAAACATCAAAACAAAACACACATTTCGTCTACACGTGTTTCTTGTCAACACTCAATGGAGTAAACTACTAGACATGTAAAAAAAAAACAAAGACATTAAGCAGCTATGTTGCCGTTTCGCTCCCTGAAAAAAATCTTCTGACTTTCTGTGACTGATTGAACTGGAGCTGGGCGAGCCGCGCAGGACATAACCGACAGACCTGTGAAGCTTTACAGGAGGCAGAGGCTTAGATCACTGGACGACAGAGTTGTTCATCGTGTGCACAGACAGGGTTAACGTCGGTATGAACAACAGAATTGTGCCAAAACTCCGCCAACTCGCTGCAGATTCCCCTGTGCACACTCTGTGCCCCGCGCACACACTGGAGAACTGCGCAAAATCAGCTGTTCACGCTCTGTGGTCAAGCTGCTGCGATTTTATTTACAACAAAATTGAGTAAAACACACAGTTGCAAACTTACTCAGGGTGTTAATGGAAGAGTTTGAAATCAGACAGAGGTGGAAGAAGTACTCAGATCTTGTGTAGGAATAATACTCTGTTACAGAGTCCTGTCCAGCATTCAAAAATATTACTCAAGTAAAATTAGAAAAGTATTATCAAAATATAAGTACCAAAAGAAAAAGTAGTCATTGTGCAGATTGGTCCAATTCAGAATAATATATGTTTTATAATGATTGATCATTAAAGTGGTCTCAAAGCTGGTAAAGGTGCAGCTACAGTAGTTGTAATGACTTTGTATACTGCAGGGTAGCTTGTGAATTTACTCCAGGTGGAACTAAAGTCTGATTTAACACTTGATTATATTTCACATCATTAATCCAGATCTGTAAAGTAGCCTAACTAAAGGTATTAAATACATGTAGTGGAGTATAAGTACACAATTTACCTCTGAACTGTAGTGGAGTAGAAGTACAAAGTAGCATCAAAGTCAAGTAAAGTACAAATATCTCAAAATTGTACTTAAGTAAAGTACTTGAATAAGTGTACTTAGCGCCATAGAGTCCCCTATCGGTTGGGGCCTTTGGGGGAACTGTTGGACCACCGCCGGGCACAGCCAAATCCAGCCTCTCCTCCTGGCTGGCTGGAGAAGAAGGTTGCACAGCCACGGCCACGGATACAGCTTCACTTGTGGAGCTAGATGGCAATGATGGTGGTGAGCTATCGTTAGCCTCCGGCTCCGGCTGCCGCTGCACGTCAACATTGCTAACGTTAGCACTCAATTTCGAGGACGATGTATGACAAAAAAAACGGTCTAATTTTGTCAGTTTAGCTGTTACATCTCCTAGTTCTCTCTTGTCCTTTCTCTTTTGAGCGCTGCTCTTGTGCTTTGGTTTGCTGTACATTATAAATGCAAGCTATTACATTTTTTATAATGCTGCCGAACTTGCTGCTGCTAGCTACAGTACAGTACAGGTTGATTAAGCGGTTCGCTCGTCACGCAAGGTATCACATGACATGAAAGGGAGCAAGGTCATTGGACAGACAAATTACAAATTAATTGAGGTTGCTTGGTTACTTTGAAGACTGCGTGAACCGGTCAATGCCATTGGGGCCCCAAAAAAAATATATTAAAAAGAATATTAAAAAAAATATATATATATATATTTTTTTTTTTGCATGGGCCCCTTGCCGGCTCGGGGCCCCGGTGCGTTGCACCGGCTGCACCGTCGATAGTTACGCCACTGGTGTGAGCTGTATTACTGGTGTCGTGTCCTGGTTGCTGCGAGACAGCGAGACAACGCGAAACTCAGCATGAACTCAGCCTGAGCACACACACGTGAGTGTGTGGTGAACTGTGAGTGGAGATCCACGCAGCTGCGGCTGAGAAAAGATAAGGTTGAGCGTGCCGGCGAAACTCTGCGGAGTATCGCGGCTGAGAAAAGATACGGCTGAGTGAGTGTGTGTGTGTGAGGAGCTCCACGGATTGGTCCATTTGGACCTGGGCATGGTCACGTCACTGTACCCAGAAAGAAAAAGAGAAATCTCCAACGAGGCGTTCTGAGGCAGCATAGACAGGTATTTTCTGTGTTAGAGTTTTACTCGCTACAGGGTGTACTTTGAGGGTTTTTGACTCTGCAGACCATTTACATGCAGAAAAAGCTACATAACACATAAGGGGA